GTAGTAGAGCTTGCAGAGGGTCAATGATACAATAAATAACTTCTGAAGGACAATCATGAACCTAAGATTACAACACATTTATTCACTATCACTGCTATATCTGGAGAAAGTACTTATGTGCAGGATGGTATCACTTGCTTGGCATTTCAGAGGGTTAAATATTAAGGTACATAGATACTTCTCCCTTCAGTTATGCAGCTGGATGTCCTGGAATTCTGGGCCACCACTAATTTATGTTGTGCCTAAATTATTTGAGAGACAAGGAAATGCCTTCCAAAAGGCTGCAGACAGGCATTCAAACCAAAACAATTGTTTATCTTTGGATTGCAATTACCAGCATGCTAAAGGAGACCATGATCCCAAAACATCCTCAGTTTTGTCAGGACAGTAGCTGCAACCAGAGATGAACAACTGCTGTAGCTCAAGATACACCATTCACAGAGTCTTGTGAAGCCTTAACTGGCTTTGGCTAGAAAGGATCCGAACTGAGCTGTTTGAGTCAGAAGAGCCACTCGAGTAATCAAAAATCAGCCTTATAGTAAGAGTATAAAATGTTTTAATATGTTACCAGTTACAATTGTAAAGCAGATTATGAATGCAGTGAAGGTTTAAAATTTTTCATGTAAATCTTTTCCTTGAGAAGTCCAGTGAATAGCTGTACTGGTTTTGGCCAGGATTGAAGTAAATTTATTCAGAGCAGCTTTGTTTTAGTTTTGTGATGGAAACAGTGCCGATAACACAGCGATAATTCAGTTATTGCTGAGCAGTGACTACACAGAGTCAATGCCTTTTCTGCTTTCACACGGCTCTGCCAGCACGGAGGCGGGGGGTGCACAAGAAGGGACCAGAAGGGATTCAGCCCAGAAACCTGACCCCAGCCAACCAAAGACTTTCCTTACCATATGTTGTCATGCTGAGCAATAAAAGCTGGGGGAAGAAGAAGGAAGTAGAAGACATTCAGAATGATGACACTGGTCTTCCCAAGTCAGCATTAATGTGATGAAGCCCTCCTTTCATGGAGGATGGCTGCACACCTGCCCATCCATGAGAAGCAGTGAATGAATTATTTTTCTTGCTCTGTTGATTACCTATTAAACTGCCTTTATCTCAACCCACAAGTTTTTGCATTTTTACCCAGATTCCTGCCCTCATCCTGCTAGGGATGAGCTAGCAAGAAGTGTGGGTCAGAGCTGCCAGATGGGATTAAATCACAACATTTGAAACAAATTATATTTTTAAAAACAACCAAGTTTCCAATAAATTGGGCAGAATTAACCACACACACAAAAAACCCCAAAAAACAAAACAAAACAAAAAAAAAAAACCCAAAAAAACCCACAAAAAAAACTCCACACCTAATCAAATAAATGCAAAATCAGGGCTAGTATCCTCAATGTCTTTTGTCCAAAACATTCACTCTGTTTCAAGCCTCTAGCAGAAGTTGGCTACAACCTCCAAGCCACACTCAATTCTGACTGTAGCTCATGCACAGCCAAAAACAAGCTTAAGCACCTCTGTAAAAATGTAAGCAGCTTTTACTGTAATACAGCAAGCCCTTCTCTCAAATAAAACATGTTGTAACATATGTTGCAAGTCAAAGATGTACCACTGGGCTACCCCTTTGGACCACAAAAAAGAGCACAGGAGTACTGAGTGAGAGAATGCGTGAACTGCAGGCCAACACCTTGTCTCAAACAGTACTGCAACTGAAAACCTTTATGCAAAGAGCATATATATTTGTCAAATACTTTTACAGTCCCTAAGTATTTTTAAGAATAGTGCTCAAGCACTTCCCAAGCTTGATGTAGTTGCTATGTATTTATATAATCTTCAATGGGTTTATTTTCTCAAGGCTTGTTCACAGATTCCACGTAAAATTTTAGTGCCCATTAAAACTTATATTAACCAACATGAGAGGTCCATTAAAAGCTTCAAGTTCAATTATCATACTCTTACCCACAAGTCATGAGTTCTTACCATTCTCAATCTTCATCCTATCTAAAAAGCCCAAAACATCAAAAAATTAATCTGGTCAGTCTAGTCTCTAAACTACCAAACCTAAAGAACACATGCTAACAGTGGCTAAAACCTCAATCACAAGCCATGGCTGAGACCTTATTCTAGGCATATGGGAATTGAAAATAAACTAGCAATGCCACTATTTTTTCTGCTCTTATTGTCCCATCCTTTAATCTTAATAACAAACATTAGATAATCCTAGGCATTGGTGCAGCAACCTGCTACTCATTGCAATCAACTAGCACACAGCTAAAAAAATTATTTTTTCCAGTCAGTGCAGGCTTCAGCCTGTCTCTGCTGCTCCTTAAGGATACATAAGCAGTAAATATTAGTTAGTGACCTCTTTAATAAGAACTCCAGCACGGATCTCACCTTCCCCTATATATATATTGGTGACCTCTGTCTGTGCCACAATTACCCCTAAATCACTTGCCTCTCTTGGCACTGACCATTAACTCCTTTTGTCCCTAATAGCCCAAACCCTAATTGAGATAGATGCTGATGGCTTAATTCAGAAGATTGGCCTTGATGGCATAGAGCTTCATCAAACGAATTTAAAGCATTTTAATTCATTATCCATTCTTACCAGCCAGAATCTCTTCCCGTGCCACCAAAGACATCAATTCCTATTCACCATAGCTGTTGAAACCTGGGAAAGATCAGATTCTCAGTAGCCTCTAATGGTACAATTAAGAAAAGCTGTAAGGGCAGCAGTTCTTTTGAGCTCTTCAGCCCATCATTTCCAGCAGCTGCCTAGTTCCTGAGGGAATTGCTATCTAATTAGAAAGCAATAATGAAGAGAGACCCAATGGAATCCCCTGCAGAGACCCAAAGGAAGTCTGGCTAGCAAGTCCAGGAGAATTCTCCTGCCTTCTCCATGTTTCTGAGGTCCCACTATAATAATGCAACATATCCACCCATAATCCTGATTAATTTTTCACAGTGCAGATGTCCTGACTGCTCTAAACACTTGTTGGAAAAAAAAAAAAAAAAACAAGAAGAAGCCTGATTTCACTAGAAATTGAGAAAAGTTATTTAAAGGTGATCAAAATATATTGCACAGATGTTTGTACACATTACTCTCAGAGGATTTCTGCATTAATTTTATCCACAACAGATGAAATTACAACACTAATTCTTTTTGGTAAGCACTGACAGATTTCAGGATGTTTTTTTACAAATTGATTAAAGAAAAATTAGTCTTCTTCCTTTTTATATTACTTCTAGTTAGTATTTTGATCATTAGAGACATATAAAAAACAAGTCATATTTACTATCAGGAGGACAGTATTAGTCAAAAGACAAAGTATTTTTCACATTTTTTATCCTTGCAACTGCAAGCTTCATTCTAAAATAAAACAGAAAATCTATCTTATAATCACAACAGAATACTAAACTTACAAGGCAATATTTTCTCAGGCAGACTGAGAATATCAATTTCTCTTTCAAATACAGGAATAGTTACATTATTTAGGTTTTCATAGATTTACACAAAGTTTTTACAAGAATTGTCTCTGCCTCATAAATATCCTGAACAGAATGAACACAGACATCAAAGAGAATCAGAGAATATTCTGAGTTGGATTCCACCAACTCAGGATCATCAAAGTCCAACTCCTGGCCCTGCACAGGACACCCCAAGAGTCACTCCATGTACCCAGGAATGGTGTCCAAATACTTCTTGAACTCCCTCAGGCTTGATGCTATGACCACTTCCCTGGCCAAAACAAGAACAACAGAGTTACCAAGCAAAGGGTGCAGTGAGGAGAAGGAACTAGATACTGGCAGCCTGCAACAGAAAAGGTAGCAAAATGGGAATCAAGGTGTGAAATATAAAGTAGAAACATGAAAATATAAGAAACTACTGTGTAGTAAAGGCTGTGTAATTAGATATGAAATAAGCACAAAGGGGCATTTGAAATTGACTTCAGGAGACAAAGAAGTGATGTAATTGAAACCTTCACGTATAGCAGAAAGAAAACGGCCATACGCACATACATGAGATAGCTTTTTAATTTGAGTCCTGACAGCACCATGCATTCAGGCTTACATTAGAATGAAAAAGCTGCTAACATTATATAAACAGAACTCAAAAGTCAAAACAGTGACAGTGAATGTAAATGTTCTCTATTTATTTGTCTTTTCAGGAAGAAATAGACATTTACACAGAAATATACAAATTCACACTAAACACCCAGCAAATAGCAAATAATTTAAAAATAACTCAAGAGATGCTACTTAGAAATATTAAAGATATTAATAGGAAGAATTCTTTTCTTTATCGTACTTGCTTTCCTCAGATTCCTCATAACATAAAGCAAACCTTCCAGACACTGGGAATTTTCTTTCCTTTCTGTAAGGAAAACTGATGTGCTATAACCCTCATTAATCATTTTGTCTCCAAAATTACAGCTAGTTTGGTTCCTTTTCCTGATGAAAACGGAGCGCCCCCATTCTCAAAATCATTGTCCTGGTTGACAGGATTTTAAACTCAAAATCATTTCAGTGAGCTCTTAAATTCTGGTAGCTCCCGAGCAGCAGCTGAAGGCTTCGTTGTCCTTGCTGCGCGCAAGGTCCGAGCTCTGCGTGCCAGGGCAGGAAGGCGCTACCCGCCAGGAGCGCCCCAAGGACCGCACAGGGAGGGAGCACAACTTCCCCACGAGCTGCGCCCCCAGTCTGAACAAACAAACAAAACCCGAAGAACAACCAAACCCCGCCTCGGCTTCAGACAGCACTTTTAACGAAGCACCCACACGAGCAAGTGAACTTTCTCAGCACCGGCTGTTTGCCCGCACGCCGCTTACGGGCGCACACCCGTGTCCGGCCGGTGCCACGGCCACAGGGCCCGCCAGCCGGGGCGGCCGCCCGGCCAAGGCAGAGAGGCCTCGGGGGAAGCTCCCGGCCGGCCGCAGCAGCCCAGGTAGGGCACGGCGGGGCTGCCATCCTCCTGCGCCACCCTCCCTCTCTCCCGGGGCTCTCACGTTTTTGAGGAGGGGAGCTCCTTCTTCTTGCTCGCCTTGGAGGCCATGGCCGCGGGTCGGTGCCGCCGCGTCCGCCGCGTTGCCGGGCGACCCCGCGGGCGGCTCGGGGGCGAGGACCCGGCCCGGCCCGGCCCGGCCCAGGCCGGACACGGCCCCCCTGCCCACGGCCTGCCCTGCCCGCTTCGTCTCGGGCAGAGGTCTGGTTTCTTTCTGCGGCAGCTTCAGGAATCCGTCCAAAGAACGTAGTTTGCCTGCTGGCCGGTGATAACCAGTTGCGAGAAGCTGTGACTCCATGGAAGACGGAGAGGCCCTGCAGAGAGACCTGGACAAGTGAGAGAACCGGGCCATCACCACTTGTATGAAGTTTGCCCAAGACCAGTGCCGGGTTCTGTACCTGGGACAGAGCAACCCCGGACAGACTGGGAAACAGGCTGGACAGCAGCAGTGCAGGAAGGGACCTGGAGGCCTTAGTCGATGGAACTTGACTATGAGTCAGCTCTGCCCTGGCAGCCTAGAGAAATTTTAAAGCTAGATTATGCAAGTCTTTATTTTCTTTTTAATTTCATATTGAGGCAATTAACTAACTCCTGCTTATGAAGCCCATCATTACCAAAGTGAATGCTGTTCTACCAAGGTCAGATAAAATTAGCATTAGTCTGCTGGTTTTGAATTCAGCAGATAGTTGTAGTGAATGATGAAAAATCCTTAATAAAATAGAATATACTTTGCTTATTCTTATTCAAGCTTTTTCAAATATAAACATCAATTAAAATATATTTGTCATATTGCAGAGGGCATGAGTGGATTAAAAATAGGAGGAAAAATAGGCAGATGTTGCTACATCTAGAAGGCTTGTTTTAGACAAATTTCTGATCTTGATTTATATTGAGGTGACAGGCAGCCAGATACACACTCATAAATTTTAAAGGGCAGAATTCTTCCACAGCTTGGCATTTCCTTCGGCGTTATGTCCAACAGCATCCATTTTAAACAAGGTACTTTGGGACACTTCTCACTTGAGAGCCAAGTAAACATTTCAATTTTATTTATTTCTTTTCAAACTGAACAGCTGGTCTTCTCTTCATACAGTTATGCTGTCAAATATTGATTCAGGCAAACAGATGAAAATAGGAGAGAAAGAGATAAGTTTAAACATCTGGCTACACCTCTTCAGTACCAGCACAGGGTTGTTCACCTCAAAACCTTGCTGGATGCTGATGCAAACTTGTAGATGGGAGACAGGATTCAGTTTGTGACACAGAATGCAGATAAAAACACAATGTAAATTACAGACTTTCTATTCCTCTGAATCCCCTTTACTTTGATATACTTACTGGACAGAGAAAATACTATGGAAAAGTAAACATGAAAGATATGTATAAATGTAAGAGGCACTTATGAAAGTTTTCACAGTAGGAAAACTTCCTTCTTGATCCCACTGCAGATGACCAATGAGTTTTGCAGCATCCCAGCAAATAAAACTTTCATAATACACTCAGGTGAATGGCAACATAAAAGTAACTGAAGTTTGAGTACCTGGGTCTGTAAACATTTTGGGGTGGTAGAGGAGGAAAAACAGAAATCAGAAAAGCATATTTAAGTACAGAGCCTTTAATTCTTTGCTCTGTTAAATGACAGTTACTACATAGGAAGTTCAGAATGGACCTGACCTTTACCTTAAAATCCTACATTAAATTTGTTTGCTAAGAGTGGTGGCATTAAAAGCAGGTATCTAGGTGCTTTGTGAAGGAAAAAAGAGATCTCAAGTTTAACATCCATCAAGTTATATCTTTTTATTTATGCAAGAAGTTCATTTAGAATTCCATAACCTAACAGCAATGACAAGGACAGCTTGTTTGGAAAGAGAAATTAATCTGAATTTCAAACAAGCTAGTTTTCTAACTGGCAAAGAATCTGTAAGGTCGTATCAGCTGTTTCACTTCCCTAATGTCTTGAGCCATGAAGTATATCTGACAGACACTCCCTGAAGGGAAGAAATTATTAGGGTAGAAGCAGCCTGACAGAAAATGCACAAGACAACAAAACAAGTACTGGGAAGCCATTGAGATGTCACTAAATAAATACTAAGGTAGGACGTACTGATTAGCAATGGATGGATGACCTTCTGGTCATCATTCTTCTAAGGTACCACTCAAAACACCAGCTTATTTGTTTTCCCTGAAAGCATCACAGCAACAGCTACAGCACATGCAAGTCATTTGCAGGAAAGCAGCCTTTTCATCTTAAGTATTTTGTACTTTTTTACGGCAACACATAGTAGTTGGAGAGAATAGAAAAAGAGTAACTGAGCAGCAACACCACCAAAAGCCCTCAGGGGTCTTGGAACTCATACTTAAGTCTCCTCTGATTTTACAGAGGGCACAAGGACTTAAGAACAAGAGTAAAAGCTTTTGCCTTCAGAGAAGTGTGGGACTGGGGCAAAGCAAAATGCCTAGAATAACTGATGAGTATGCTAAAGACACTCATTCGTCTCAGAGATGCCAAGTGACAGGATTAGAATCTATGTGAGAATTTAAGTATGAGAAATTTCTCTTAAAAATAAAATTTTATTTTTAATTACTGTGAAGGTGGTCAAACACTGAACAAGTTTTCCAAAAAGACTGTGGAGCTTTTCTCAAACCATGAGCAACCTGCTCAAGGTCTAAGCACAGGTGTAATCCTTCAAGACCACTTCCAACCTTATCTATTCTGTGGTTCTGGGAAGTTTTCCATGAAAAAACAGGTTAAGGTCAAAATCAGCTAGAGGCTTCTGTAAAAAGAGATGCTTCATTTTGATGCATGAGGGTGCAACAGTCACAAGATGAAAGGATTTTGGTGTTGTATTTTTGAGACTTTTTCCCCATGTCTTTTTATCAACTGATACGAAAACCTAGGTTCTGAAATTAATGCTCTTAACAGATAAAGAAACCCCGCTACCCTTTAACTTCCAAAACTCTTTTATCTGTTTGTTAAGTGAAAGAGCAGGTGGAAAAGATTTGAGAAAAGTACAGGTCAGTGGAAAATAGTGAACAGAGGATGACAGCAGCGCACTGGCATTTCATTAAGAGCAGGCAGTGAAGGATCAGGAAAAGAGTGAAGGGTGATCAAAAAAAAGAACAATTGTGAATGATGAACGGTAATGCCTGAGAAAATGAAAACACTGCAGTATGTGATAAAGCCTGGGAGAGCAGTCTGTGCACTGAGTCGGGAACAGTCACTGAGGTGACACAGGCCAGGGAACTGAATTTGAGCAAAACCATCCTCAAATAGATGGACTGAAACTGCACAGGCAGCTCTAGTCTGTTAAGTCTTTAATGTGAGGCCAGGGAGTAAAGTGGATTATGAGAGTTTTTTTGGGTAAACTGATAGAATAAGACAAAGTAGGGGGAAAAACCACAGCCAGCTGCATAATAGAAAATTGTTTTTGCTGAAGCACAGGGCTAAAATGCCATTTCAAAAATATCTTATGGTAACATGTCTCATCTGATTTTGTCAGGGACATGGTTTTTCCAACATTCCAGCCTCTCTTGAATTTGACACAGTGTCAGAAAGGTGGGGTTCATCAGAGTCCTATGTTACTATTTCCACTTACCTTTTTTATTTTCAAGTTCTTTGTTTGCTAGAGCACCATTCTATCACATTGTCATGCTATAATCTCATTTTGGAGAAACACAGACCCAAAACATTCTGTTAAATTTCAAGCAGTTGTTCAAGTCCAATTTAAATACAGCAATACCATCAAGTCCCACGGGACTGCTCAGGGAACCTGTTTAGGTAAAAGTGTGAACTGAGGATCACCACAACTTGGATCATCTCTTCACTCTAATTAACACTCTAACCCCTGTTTCTATGGGGATATAACAGTATTCCCCAAGAGCAGGCAGCAGAGGAAAAACCAAAGTGCCTCAGAGAATCATGCAGAGCCATTGGCTTTCTTTTGTAAATTTTTCATTCGATGATACAGGAGTCTCTTTCTACATCAAAAGGAAAGGCTTTCTGGGTTTGATAGAGTGTGATAACTCTATCTGAAATCTGGAGTTAAATAAGACAACTGATTCTCTAAACTATTGGAACTGTTACAAAATTTAGATATGGACAGAGGAAGTAGTATTACCTCTTTAGAAAATTCTATATATTTGGCTAAAATGATACAATAAAATTGTGGCAATAGCCTGAGGGACAGAAGGGCATTTGTTTTTAAATTGAGAATACACAATCTTAATGTACTGTAAACTACAGGACTGCACAACCTATTAAATCTCTTAGTACACTGTTTTACTTATTTTCATTTTTACATTTTTTTATAATTAAGAATGTAAGATTTTTGCAGGAGATTAAAAAAGTTATGTCTTCTTGTTCTAAGTAAAGGCACACTGTTAACTCACAGCAAATCCCTTTTTACAGTAATTAACTTCAGTGTGTTTTAAGTGTGGCTGCAGTTGTATATGCAGACTAAAAGCAAAAAGCTAGACTAGTTGAAAAATGCAAAATGTAAGATTGCTGGATAACTATGTTTTAATAGAAACATGATTAACATTCTTCATGAAAAGTTAGAAACAAGGTATCTTACATCTAACTGATGTAAGAGGTCTTCTAACTTGTTTTAACCAAATAAAAATATATTGTCTTTTCTAAATAGCAAAAAAAAAAAAAAAAAAAAACTATAACAGTCTCTAACTTCTGAAACTCAAAAATTACACAAATTGTTGTCACATTTATGCCATCATCCATATGCAAAGTGCCATCCCAGCCATTTGAGCTACAAGTCATCTGATCTAATTGTGCTTAAAACAATAACCCAATAAAATGAAATGGCATCCTGGAAGACAATCTGATGGAAAATTCTTGCTCCTTAAACTATAAATACAAGAAAGCAGTGATGTTGGGGATCTTGTGGCAAAGGGCCATCGAAAACAACAATTATTTTAAGTTTCAAGCAAAGTAGTTTTCCTGTGTGGTGGGTTGACCCTGGCTGGATATCAGGTGCCAACCAAAGCCACTGTATCACTCCCCTCTCAGCTGTATGTTAGAATGGAAATATAACAAAAGGCTCTTGGGTTGAAGTAAGAATAGGCAGTGATAACTCACAAGTACTCTCATGGGTAAACAGACTTGACTGAGGTAAATTA